ATATAGCAATATCCCATGATTTTGCTTGATTTTAGGTATAGGTTGATTTGGATTTCACTTATCAAAATATGAAAACTTGTAAGAAACACGTTTAATTATAAACTATGTCATTTTTAGTGTTTTTTTTTATATAGTTTTATCATCATTAAATTTATGACCAAAATTCAATGTTCGACGTGTGTTAAATTATGCCCGCACTGAACAAATTTTTTGGCTCCGCCCGTGCTCCCAAGCGCTCACTTTTGATGGTTCAAATCACACTAATTATCTTATCAAGGTTTGCAAAGGCTTTGACTCAATTTACTCTATGGTTTAATAATAGTTTGAGCTGCCAAGACTACCATTGACCATTTTGTTAAACGTGTTTGTCCTATTTATCATCTATTGACTATTGGATTTAACTGCCTTTGCAGACAATCACTTTGAATTGCAAGTTCTTCATTGCATCTTGTGTCTTCATCTGGTCGAAATTGTTATTAGTCCTAATTCATGCAGTAACTTCAGTTCCAGCCATGTTCTAATCCTTTTTTTTTCCTTTCTTTTCTTTTCCTTTTTTTTTCCTCCGTCAAGATAGGTTGTCACTTGTGCTTTGGTATTCATATTGTGCAATGAATGTTCTTAGAAATAGTGATCCAACATGTCTTTTAAAAAAACCTACACAGATACTAGAAACAAGCATGATTTAGAGCTTGTTTGATATTGATTATGAGAAGTAATTTTTGATCGTTAGAGAGAAAAGTGAATCTTATCTATGAGTGCAGAAATTAAAAATAACAAATGGAATGGTAAAATAACGATCAAAAAATTAATTTTTTGGGTTGAAAAATTGCTACCAAACTGGGGCTTATCATTACAACAAATAAATATTTCCTTGCTCCCTGTTATGCCCAAATTCCAAATATTTTCCAACGATTTCCAGAATTTAGAAATGTAATACCACAGATTTTTTATTTATTCATTTTTTACCCTAAAGGTGTATAGCATCCACAACTATTAAACTAGGGACGATCCCAACATCAACCCTCTCTTCCAAATCCTCGCTTCTATGAGCCAAATCACTCTCCTCGAGAGTTATTTCCTTAACTACACCCTCCTCGTTCTCAATACAAGTTTACACCACGGAATTATTGTATATGTCAAACGTCTGAGGAAAATGACTCTCTAAAAGTAACAATCCCTAACTCAAAAATTATTGTTCACAAGAACAGGACAAACTTCTTTATCAAGAGTTTTCAATTTCACCAAGAAATTAACGTATAACTTATTTATTCACGTCGCGTTGTAAATTTATATAATTAATAAATAACTCGAGATGTCATAACAGAATATTTCTTCAATTCCTAGAAGTTCTAAACATAGCAGTGAATCAAATTCGATGTAAAATCTGAAAATGAAATTCGATGAGGAATGAAGATAAACATTCTTTTGCTCCTAATATAAATAACTAATAGTTACAATACATTCTTGAATGAAACTGAATCATCTTTTGCACCTTCCGCATTCAAGTGAGAAATGAGCATGGCCCATGACCTGAGAAAGGAAAAAGGAAAAACGTAGAATTAAAAACAATTAATTTTGCCAGTAAAATTAGGTCGTAGTCTTCACAAAATCGACCATTTCCCGTTCAAATACTACTACTTGACAATTGTAAGTTAAAAAGAGTAATGTTAATTATAACTTACAAGAGAAAATATTTTACTTACTTGGGTCAGAATTGACGATGGCACCAGTGCCCGAAAAATTACAGTCGAAATCATTACGACCCTTACTTTGGTACCACGAATTCATGACATAAGATGCGTGAGCCCGTTTTGTGTTAGGGTCGAAACAAGCACCATTGGGTTGAATCGGCCCGCAATCCATGCCTTGGCTGCACACATAGTCTATATTCAACTGTAGTTGTTCATCGGTGGCCTCAGCCTTCGCCACGCACCATTTTTTGTTGCCCGGTGTTGGTGGTGTTGAAACGGGCGTGGAAGGTGTTGGAGCTGATGGGGTGGGCTGCATAATCAAAATTTAATTACGATTAAACAAATGTTAAAAAAAGTTTACACAAGAGTAATGGTGACAACTGCATGACATCAAATGATAAATTCACTTAAGTCCAATGACATTCAATTGAATCTATCAATTGTGACCGCCTAAGTCAGTGTTCAACACCATTGGTGCTACATAAAATTATTCTTTACGTAGTTGGCATAAAATTTGTGGCTCGGTTTGGTTCGGCTCGACTTAAATGGACGTTGGAAAAGTAAAAAGGAAAAGAATAATTGGTGCGAGAATAAAGTATAACGGAAGTCGACAAGATTCAAAATAAAAGAGACAAGATGCCTAATCCCATCAACTAAAGTCATTCTTTATCATATAGGCACATGGGACCTCGAAGTTCTTAGGATTTCAAATTTCAATTCAACAATATTTAACAATGCACAGATAATTTATTTATTTATTATTATTATTATTATTATTTTTTTTTTTGTAAACAAATAAAAATTTATACATTATTCATACTACTTGTCGAGATGATAATCGAGGAACGAAATTATGCATCTTTGGTACCAGTAATAGAAAGAATTGTAAGAGTACATCAAAAATGATTTTGTTTTTCTTCTTCTTTTTCTTTTTCTTTTAATCCTACACCTAAAAACTAATTTATATGGCTATCATCAAACAAGAAAATAACGGAATAAACTTGTTATTCAAATATAAAATTTATAGATTGGTAAAGTTTAATGATGTTTGAAGTTACCTTATTAGGCACCGCCGCGGTTCCTCGCATGATACCAATATCATAAACAGGTGTAAAATCTGGCCGGAACAAACCGAAATTCTTCTCAGATGTAGCACCAGACTTCAAATTTTCATTAAAAAGTGAAAAAATATAAATGTCGAACTTCCTTCCGGGCAACAATGGCGTCCCAATTCCTTGATTATACTTCTTCACCAAACCCCCATTGTAAGAAGCTGCATTTGGAATAGTACATTTCGGTTCAAAACTATCCCCAGCAGAAGCCCAACCAGTCTCCCCTACAGCAACATCCACATCGCCATAGCCCAGTTTCTTCATGGAAACGTAGACTGCATCGATCAACTGATCGAACATGTTTGTGTACGTTCTTTTAGTAAATCTATCGCGTATGCCTCGGTTTGGTTTGAACAGTGCAAAATTTGCCTGTTCTGGGCTGTAACCGAAATATGGATATGGATTGACCATGAATGGAGACCTTGTTTCCCGTAAAAATTTCAGGGTAGGGGCTAGGTCTCCGATATCCCAACCTGGCCGGAACTTGGCCAAACTAGGCGGATCGGAAGATTCAAGAATACTCAAGGCATGAGCCGTTGTAACATTAACACCGTTAATCCCAGATCGAATGAGTGCTGAGTGAAGACTTCTCATGGCGGCAACTAGATTATCGACCAGATTTTGAGGTCCCCAATGGAGTACTTCATTTCCGACAAGAATGTAGTTGATTTTAGTTTGTGGGTAGAACGGTTTAATGTTGTTAGCCACCCATCTACGAGCATACCTGACGTCAACGAGGTTTGGGATTTCTCCGTTCGGAACAGTGACTGCCACGAAGATTCCGGTGCCAGCAAATGCCCGGAGAATATCTGGGTTCACATCAAAGAGCTTGATTTTGTCGATGGTGGTTTTCTCCTTGAGGAATTGCGCAACTTGAGCCGGCGGGGGAAGGTTGTTTCCGAGGGTACCGTAATTAACTCCGATGGAATTCACGGCGGCGAAGTGCTGAACGAAAAGAATAGATACAAACAAAAGGACGGAGAATAAAGATTGTCGGTTTGAAAACTCCATGGTTTCTTAATTATTACCAGTAAGCTTGATAAATGATGTAGGCTGGTTGATTTATATGAGGGGAATAGGCGGTGAAAAGTACTTATCTTTGTGAAGGGGAAAGATTTTTGTACAGTTAGAAGCCGAGGATGAATCGCGTAGAGAGATAAACGCGACATAAAAGCAGCTTTTTTAAGAGGAGAGAGACAGAAAGTGCTGTAACAAGTGGAGGACAGCGCATCACGCGCTTTTGTCACAGAGAGAGAGAGAGAGAGAGATGCGTGTGGGTATAGTATATAGATAGAGAAGGGAAGTATCTGGAAATAGGGAAACATAAAATTGGTGGCGTCAAAAAATGACAGCAAAACAAGTCAAACAGTTCAAACGAAATCTAGATAAAGAATTGCCTATGTAGTGTACCATATTTGGTCAATTATTTTAAGTTATTTTTACCTTCACAAATTACTCTCTTAAAATGTAAATTAAGATTGGATATGGTCGGCTTTGATTCAGTTCAAACGAAAATTCAATTGGATCCAAAATTTTTGGTATTAATAAGGGAAATTGTGGGGCCCAAATTTAATTATGAAATCATTAAGGTTCGATTCGATTTAATTTTCGAGTTTCATACTTTAATTTAATTTTTTAATATTTACAAAGTTACATTAATTCAATTAATGATATGTTCAATTTTACTTCTTATAAAATAAATGTAGTCCAATCTTATGTATCTTTTATATTTTTTTTTTGCAAAATTCTTTATAAGTTTAATTGTTAAAATTATACGAAGAGGAAGATAGTGATCTTATAATAATTAAGAGAAGTGTTGTCGTGCTTCAATTCGATTTCTCCATAACGGTAGAAACGACATTCGGTAAAATAACGGAATTGAATAAAACTTAGATCAATCTGATTAAATTGGACTTGGATTGAAAATTAAGCTCATGTTTGAGTCACATTTTAGGAAAAAATGCATTATTCATGTCAAATTAATGAGAAATGTATGGTTAAAAAATAAGTAAAAGTTTTAGATTTGCGTGTAATATTATTTTATTGAAGAATGTATGGTTGAAATAATATCAAATCATTATTGAAAAATATATTTTTTTGAAAATAATGGGGCTCAAGCAAGCCCTAAAAATAGAAAAATTATATTTTTAAAAATAAGGAAAATTTTAGATTTACGTGTAATATTATTTTATTGAAAAATACGTAGTTGAAATGCTGTCAAATCACTGTTGAAGAATGTATTTTTTTAAAAATAATGTGGCACAAACAAGACCTAAACGCAAATTTAAATTTTTTTTTAACCACACATTTCTTATTAATTTGACATTCCTAGAATGTGGCTCAAATATGGGATAAATCTTAAATGCTATATATCTCCATATGATGCCACGCATCAATGTATTTAATAGGACACCACCTCACACATAGCATTATTTTTATATTAAGTGCATTGACGAAATCCAACCTTAATGATATTCAGCATCGAGGTCTCAATATCATCTAGACTATATACGCTGACCACTGTACTCAATAAATGCCATTGATAATCAATTATATTGGG